GATCATTCTGTAAAACAGAATGTGAAAATAATTGTTTTTGTAAAACTAAATCTGAAAGAGAAGTAAACAAAAAACTAAATGTATAAAATCTGTAAAAAAGAAAATCTAAAAGAAATAATTCAGAAAAATCAAAGGAGAGAAAACAGCAAAGATCCCATCAAAACCTTTTTTAAATTAGGAAGTTTTTCAAAGGATCATTTCTACATTGCATCTGTAATGGATAGTAAACCATTTAAATTAAGTTGCCTAAATTTTTCACTTTTGTAGACTATTTATTGCAAATTATTTAAAGGATGTTGCAGATTGTTTAATATTTGTCTGTTTTGATTAGCAATGGTGGTTTGGTTAATTGTATTTGCACTTTGTAAAGTTTTGTTGTTGTTTTTTTGTGTACCTCACAGGCTGCCGTATATAAATGAGGGCAGGCCTTATAAAAGCATGCAAATCATTGTATCAATGAATGACTTCAACAAACTGTCAGATGTGCTTGGCACTATCAACACTTAGCGTTCCACGGTGAAAGCGTGTGTTATAAGGTAATGTTTATATTCTAATATTTGTATATCTGTTTAGTTTTCACTGTGATTACGGTGACTGAGGTAATGCAAGATGATTGAGATGACTGATGGTCCACATCAAAGAAAATAAACAAACCTTGGAAATCACCCGTCGGGACCGCGCAAATTAATTCAAGTGCTGGGGAGCTGCTACAGCATCTTTTTATAATTTCGTTTTATAAAACATGTTCTTTTCTTGCAACAGTTAAAAAAAAAATAAATCACCCCATACAAAGATTTCCCATAATGTCCTCATTAGAAAAAAAGCAATAAATTTGAATTATTCTTCTTTAGCTTCTTTTATTCTTGTAAATGTTCCACATTTTCCTTATAAACATGGTAGACCAAACAGGTCCTTATAACATATCAGCAGCTGCTCACCTTCAGCCAGCGCCTCCCTGACCTTCTCAGCGTCTGCAGACAGGTAGAGGTTGGTCTGCCAGGCCTTCAGGTAACCAATCGGACTGCTTCCTCCGGTCATACAAAACCTCTCGATAAATAAGTCTAGGAACAAAACCAACAGAGGGCAACAGTGTCTTTCATTTCAATCCATTATGGTGCTAAATGTCAACATTCCTTAAATCAGCAGCTAACAGACCAAGTTACATTAAATAAACACTAAGTAACTTTTCAGCCTTCATAAAATATTTAAGTTGTAGATTATATGTCGACTTATAGTTGAATGACCCCTCTGTCATAGACCGAGGGGGTCTGTACCGCTTTCAACAGCACCAAGCAACTTTGAGGAGGGTGGCAGTAAACCTGCTGCACAAAACAATTACAAATATGCAGCTGCTTTACAACAAAGTCCAGTGGATTTTTTGTTTTTTAACTTTTTTGGGATGACTAAGACCTGGATGACTGAGAATCTTCACCAGCATGCTTTAAAACACACGTCATTTCCCCCTTTTCCATTCGTTATAAAGAGGGAAGTCGATGCGACTAAGGCTGTCTGAACGTCTGCCCTAACCCCTAAATCCCTCAATCACTATATAGAGCACGATCCGTCCTGCATACGCAAGAACAGATATATATCCGGTTGCCCATAAATAATGTAATTATGGTGCTAAAATTACCTATTTCTATCCTTAACTAACTACAGAATGCTAATAAACATCTTTTAAAAAATTTTATGACTTTTGTGAGACAATTTTGATGCTTTTTACGTTTTCTTCTTTAAACTGCTTCTCCAACGTCATCATCGGGCATGCTCAGAGACTGAACTATGTTTTATCTGCATTTTAGTTTCTTTCTTTAGATTATGCACTATATACCATAATGTTAACATGAAAGGAAAACATAAAACTCAAAAAGACTAGATTTAATTTCTCAGGAAATAGATTATTAACCTTTAACACATTATATTATAGTTTGCTTACGTCATTTAGGTCTTTTTAACAAAATAAAATCGAGGGTGACCCAGGTGTCTATCTGGATGCGCAAATGAGCCGATGGCGCATGCGCAAAACGGATCGTGCTTCGGGGACGGATCGGGTAGTGACAGTCACCACCATAGCAAATCCCATGATGCTTTGTGAGGAGAGTTGACGCAAAGCATTCTGGGTTATATCTGCTCATCTAGTGACCATTGATAATCACTACTTTTCAGGGTGTATTATGGGAAATTTCAAGTCCACTACTTTTTCATCCACTAGACATTCGGGCACTGATCTAAAATGATCTAAAGTGCAGATGCTCGGACATAATCTAAGTTTCCCTTAGAGACCAATTTTGCACATTTTGCAGGGATACTTCCTGATTCTTATTTTGATTATTGTGACATTGTTTCACCATTACATTAACTACCTCATCACTATTCATCTTTCATACAGCCCCCGGAAACAGATAGGTTGTTTAATCAAAGTGCAGGCAGAAGATAAGGATTTTACGGCGCTATGGCTTTCCCTACGTTGATCCTAAAGGCAAATGTTTTCTTACCTCAGGCAAACAATACAGCTTTTGTCCACTGGACAGAACCAAAATCGATCAAAACTTAAAATTCCTTAGCACTGCTTTAAAAGTGCAGTTATAGATTACTAGGATTAAATGCAGGCTACGACTCAGTAATAATAGGCGCTTGAGATTTTCCACGAATATTTAAGGAGTCCTAGAAGTTTAAAGCATAAACTTGCAATAGATGATCCAAAGAGGAGATTAAGACGAGAGGGAAAGTTTCTTTTTGCACTTTTTGTTGCTGCAGGAGCTCTTAACTTAGATTGATAGAGCAGAGCACATAAGGTATGTGGAGGAGGACAGAACACTGATAGAAGGTAATTAGATCCTTGATTACGGATCAGATCTGCTTTCCCAGGTGGAACGGGATGATATTTATGAGAGCAGAGCTGCAAAGGTCAGGATTAATGTTTGAGAATATTGTTGAAGGAAATTACTGAATAAAGAGCTGAAGGTTAAAGAATTAACCTGAAACCCAGGATATATTAGGTAGTGCAGAAAAAGGTTACAGGGGTTTGGAGGTTTCACTGAGTACTTTAAGAATCATGGCGCATTTATCCCCACTGAGCTGAAGATGCAGGGCATCAGTAAAGATCTTGAATAGGATTTATGTCTGGACTTTAACTGGACATTGCAAACATGTACAAAAGCACTACATACTGTGACTTCCCTATTAAGTAGGCGTCTGTATTCACAGAGTCTTTCAAATATTTCCTGGATCCATAAGGGGATCTGGATCATCACTAAAATGTGACCATTTGATCACAAAATGAACCATCTCTGAAAATTTCAGCTAAATCAGTCCATAACATTTTTATTATTTTGAAAACAGACAAACCAACAAAATATAACCTCCTTTGCAGATTTAGATATGCTTTAATCTAAATCAGGTGTATCCAAAGGTGGATATAGAAAACATTTCAATTGCAAGAAAAGTCAAGGTGCTATACATGATAAAAGGAAAAGCACATTCTAGTGGCATAAACACATATTTAAAGGGAATTAATAAAATATTATGAAAAATAGATAAAATAATTGATAAAAACAAAGGAAAGTTGGACTGAAGGCTTAAGTAAT